GAGCGCAGGCTGCAAATCAGAAATTAAAAAGCACCATCATCTGAAGCTGTTTCCATAGTCGGTGGAGAGTGAGACCCCCCAGAATTGCTAAAAACCCGGGAGCTGGTGCTTGCCGTGGGGCGCAGCAGCCGGATGCTGCAGGCAGCTGAGACGGTGGCTGTAAAAATCTCTTGTCCTGGTTCTGAGCTGAGACAGAGCTCGGTTTCTTTTTAGTAGCTAGAATAGCCCTGTGCTTTGGTTTCAGCATGGGATTTGTTATGAGAGAAACACTGGTAATATACCAGTGTTTTTATTTTTGTCACTGGAAGACAAAAGAGAAGAGAAGAGAAGGCTTCTGGCAGACCTTATTGTGGCCTTTCAATACTTAAAGGGGGGCTGTAAGAATGATGGGGGCAAACTTTTTAATAGGGCCTGTAGTGATAGGACAAGGGGTAATGGTTTTAAGTTAAAAGAGGGGAGATTTAGACTAGATAGGAGGAAATTTTTTACACTGAGGGTGGTGAGACACTGGCCCAGGTTGCCCAGAGAGGTGGTAGAAGCCCCATCCCTGGAAACATTCAAGATCAGATTGGATGGGGCTCTGAGCAACCTGATCTGGTTGAAGATGTCCCTGCTCACTGCAGGGGGAATTGGAGTAGGTGACCTTTAAAGGTCCCTTCCAACCCAAACCATTCTCTGATTCTGTGAAGTGAAGAACTTGTTAAGTGCACGGACTCCACTTCCTGCAGGATGGAATGGCCTTTGGAGAGAGAAATAGATTTATTATAGCACTTTATGTTAATTATTATTAAATCCAAATGATTTTATCCGGGTTCTTTTTGTCACTTGGTGTAGGGTTGAACTATTCGAACAGGCGTGATTTGGGGGTTGGACTAGATGACCTTTAAAGGTCCCAAACCATTCTATGATTTGATGATTTCTGTGTCTTTATTAAAGTTATAATGCCCGACTAATGCATGCCACTGAACATCACCCAGCAGCTATCAAGACAGTGCTCCTGGCTGGTTTTGACCTTGAAGGATCATTTTTCCCCTGGGTTGCTTCTCACAGTGGCACTGGGGTGAGCGATGGGCATAGGCTGCTTGGGCGAATCAGTGGCACAGGCAGCCCAGGAAAGCAGAGCTGGGATGGGCCAGCATCTGCATGGGGTGACCAGGAGGATGCTGAGATGTGGCTCCTGGGGTGAGCGCTGTGCATGGGGACAGAGGGGCCCCAGCCTGTAGTTTTTGGTAACATTTGCCAGCAGTGTCCATCTCTGTTCCACTTTAGAAATCAACCTGGATGCCCAAATCCAGCCATGGGTCCAGGTTTGCCCTGACTGCTGCCAGTATCAGTCAAGCCCAGGATTTATCCCAGGTGAGGCAAAGCAGAACAGGAGGACCATCACATCCCTTGGACCTGCTCCTCTACTGTCTGAGCCCTGCAGCCACCCCAACATGGGTGAGGGAGTGGGGGAAATGCTGCCAAACCAGCGCTCCCACGGGTGCCAGCGCCCAGGCAGGGGCAAGGCGAGGGAGGGTGCTCCAGTGTTTTAGGGTGTCCGAAGCTCCCATTCCCATCCCCTTGTGCTGCCTGCAGAAGGGAGGGGCAGAGGAGGAAGAGGGGGATTTTTTTTCTGGTTTCACTATAGGAAGGATTTTCAAACCCTATAAATTCACTTTTGACAAGCGAATGGCTAAAGCAGATTAACCTTTTTGCTAATCCTCTATAATGGCTTTGGAATCTCCTTAACCAATAAGAAAATGATAAGAGCCTGTTTCTTTTCTTTTTATCTATATCTATATTGTCCTCCCTTGTCTGCATTTTTTTTTCTTTCTTGTTTTATTTTCCTTTCCTTTTCTAATATGAAATAGCCCAGCGATCCTATCTCCTGGAGGCTCAGTAAACAGAACATCAATAATCCCTTTCCTTTATTCCTCTCTGGTAACAGGGTGCAGAGAAGTGTCTGCCGATTGGGATTTGATTAGCAGCAGCTATCAAAAGTCTCTTTGTAAGATCTGGGTCCTAAATCCCATAATTCTTTGATAAAAGAAGTATTACCAGTCCATTTTCTGAAGTGAAAGGTATGGGAGGAATGAAAGAAAGCAATCAGCGGAGATCCTAATAGGCTAAGTGCATGTGTGGTGGGAAGGCAGGGCCGGGCAGGGGAGGCCAGGGAAAGGCGTCCTTTGTTAGGGATGGGGAAGGAGAATTAATCCGCTTCGGGCCTATGATTATTACAGCCGAGAGCAGAAAGGGTCGGATCCTGTGTCTGCCCACGGCATGTCCCAGCTCACCTGCCCCACGGTCCCTCTGGACTGGGACGGTGTGGGGAGCAGAACCCGTCCCCAGATCCATCTCCTGGGTCAGCGTTTGGGTACGTGCACAAAAGCTGGGAGTTTGCCATGATCCCTGGTGTCAGCGCATCCCCAGTGCCTCTCTGGAGCACTGACGCCTTGGCAGGGCAGCAGGGAACCTGTCCAGACCAGGCAGCTACAAAGACATCTTCCTCTCAAACCTACAGCAAATATGTAAAGATTCATAGAACATGTTTATAATTTCTGTTACGCCATCAGAATAGCTGAAGGACAGGCAAATAAAAGGGTGGGAGAAAAAATAGTGGTTTGGGTTTAAGTGAGATTTTACAAAGATTTAAGAGTCAGAGGTAGCAGGGCTGTGGGACATCCTTTCCTGGTTTTGGGAGACCAGCAGTGTGAGGAAGGGCAGGCAGAAAGCAGGGCCATGCAGAAGAGAGAGGGGACCCTCCTGGAGACTGGCTGCCATCCCCATGTGATGCTGGAGGGGTTGCTGGGCAGTTCAGTGTGAAGTCACGAGGTGCCACAAGGACATTTGATGCGCAGTGTTTTCACAGCACTCACCTGTGTGTCTCCTCAGTGTATCATGAGTGGGACGGGTATCTTCTCTGCCCTGCAAAGAAACACCAAGCGGGAGCGCGTTCCCCATGCGAGCTCCCAAAGCCTGGCAACTCACCTTGGCTTAAACCACGCTGAGGGCAAAAGAACTTGGGTTTAAACTTTCCTAAGTAACCTGAGCTCAGCCCCTGGATCTCTCTTTTAACCCCACCTACTCATTTCAGTTATAAACCCAAGATGGAAGATGTCCTCTCTCATCCTGGGGATCACATCTGCCAGGCCTTACTGTTTGCTCTCGGGAGGGTTGGTGCCAGGCGTCCCCTCCCGTCCTGAGTCACCGCTCTCAGCCACAGCCTCACCCCAGTGTCTCTCGCTGGACAGAAGAAGTTGGGAATTGGACTGACAAAGCTTGGGGAAGCCTGATTGCTCCAGGAAACCATCCTGGCTGCTCTAGACTCACAGAACCACCCATTAGCTGTGGCAGCAAGACCACGCTGCAGCCCGAGGTGCTGCAGGACCTCGCTGCCCACCTGCCCGCACATATGAGCAGCCGGCAGCTCTCTTCCCCTTCCCAGTGCCACACAGGGCTACAGCTCAGCTGTACAGGAGGTGGCTACGTGCCACTGAGCTGTGCCACAGAGCTGCCATGAGCTGCCAGTAATCTAATTTATTAAAGGCTTTGAATCCTGGCAAAAAGAGTGTTGGATACATGCAAAGCATCTGCATTATCACTATGATTAGGGCAGCGGAGGTGGGGGAAAGGGGAAGGAGGGAAAATGCAATTTCTCTGCTCTCAGCAGAAAATAAATCAACTTTCACAGAGAGTTCTGGCACAGCCAAAGGCTGTGCTATCATTAAAAATGATTTTTTATTAAGCTGAACTCTCTCCTTTCTCATATTGTATGATATGACAGCTCTCTTTTGATGGGAAAGCTATCATTTGGACAGAGAAAGGGATAATTTGCTTCTTTTAAGGAGTTAATCCTCTGGTCCATTTCCGGGCTGGGAACAGTTATCCTCCCCCTTCCTTGGATCGGGGGCAGCAGCACAATGGAGATCATAACCACCTCAAATCTACACCCAAGATGGAGAAATCAGATTTCCTTCTCCAGTCATTTTTGTGGGATTAGCTAAATCTTAGATCCACACTAACCCTTCACAAAGCTGCCAAGATTAGTTAGAATTTATTTTATTCACAAGGGGGTTTACGGTTTTCTTTCCAAAGGGATTATATCTCTCTCTATATATATATTTAGGGTGGCTTCAGTCATAAAGCAGCTAGGTTAGAAGGAGAAAAAGTGCATGTGTGTATAAAATAAAAACTCATCAGTGAGAATGACAGTCACTTGAAATGATAAAGCAGCAACTCTGGATGGCTTCGCTGGTCCATTTTAAAAGCTACATAAGCCGTCTTTTTCCTTGCAAGACCCCACACCAGAGTTAGCACACGGAGAGCAAACCCCACTCAGCCTGAGCTGCCCGTTCCTGTGGCTGCTGCTGCAAGCAGAGAATGTCTTCGGAGCCAGCAGTGGATGCCGACACCGGCAGGAGAGGCCTCAAGAAGCCGCGTTCGTTCAGCATCGAGGACATCCTCTCCAGCCCAGCACAGAAGAGCCCTCAGGTCCTGGTCCCACTGTGCCTGCGGGGCATCTTGGACTGCGCACCCAAGGGACTGTGTGAGCTGGAGGCCATCCCAGCCAGCTCCCTGCAGGAGGAGGAGGAGGAAGAGGAGGAGGAGGAAGAGCTGGAAGGTGCAGGTTGCAACTGCTGCTGCTGTTCTCACACGAGCGCCCGTTCCCTGCAGGACTCGCCAAGTTGGCTGGGTGAGTGTTTGGGTTTGATTCACGGCGTAGGGCTTGTGGAGGGGCTGGTGCCAGTGCTGGCTGGAGAGGAAAACCTGGGCGTTGAGTGACAACAGAGTGTCTGGCCTGCCACCACGGCGGTCTTCTCAGACCTCAGCTCTGGTGAGGGGCAGCAGGATCTGTTGTCAGCATCACTCCTAATAGCAGGCACTTTTACCTGCAATGCTACCAGGTTTTTAAAAGCAGCGGGGGCTATTTATCACTGTACACTACTGTTTTATTGTAAAACATTTGAGTGGGTGATGCTTCAAGGTGTGGAAGCTCTCTGTGGAGTATAGGGCCCCATGGTCATGCTGCCCAGAGCTGCATCTGCATGTCCTGACAACACCGGCCCTGGGGAACCTCACTTGTCCTGTCAGGAAAAGAGTTTTTGGTTACATCTAGTAAAAATTACTGATCTATTAAAAAAAAAAAAGTAGGGAACCCTTAAAAATGCAGTTCAAGAGCACCCTGAAAGTTCAGAAATCCCTTGTATCAGGACTGAAACACAGCTCCTAGCCAGGCTGTGAGTTTCCATCCATTTTCTGGAGCTGGCCACAGTGCAATTGGAAAGGAAAACTCAACCAGTGCTCTCCACCTGCACATTTTGGTCAGACTCAATAATCTTAAAGGTCTTTTCCAACCAAAAAGATTCTATGATTCTCCCCAAGGGATGCCCTAAGCCCTTCTCTCACTTGCATGGTGATCACACAGCTCATCACCCACGCCAGCTGGCTGGCTGCCTCTTTCCAAACAACTTGTGGGGATGCAACTTGTGCCTGAACTGCTTTGAGTGCGATGGGTATTCCAGCCCCCCGCACCTAACGCTGCCGCTGTACCTCTCCCCCTGCAGACGCCCGGTTCCCCTGGCCCATGCGGCTCTTCCACTCAGCAGTCAGGGTCTGTACGAGTCCCCAGGGGAACCCGAGCGAGCTGCAGACTTTCCACCAGATCCAGCGCCGGACGCGCCGGCACCGCACCATATTCACCGAGGACCAGCTGCAGGCCCTGGAGACACTTTTCCATCAGAACCAGTACCCGGACGTCATCACCCGCGAGCACCTGGCAAACCGCATTCACTTGAAGGAGGAGAGGGTAGAGGTGAGATCCTACCACTCGGTGAGGTGCCATCTGCTGCACCCCCCTGAGAACACAGACCGGGGCCTTGCGCTGTCTTTTTCAGGAGCTGCAGACCCAGGTTCTCATTTTAAAAAAGTCTTGGCCATTTAACAAAACACAGTTTAGGTTTGACAAGCAACAGAAGAGTGTAAAGTAGTTGTGCTGGGCTGATTTGTTCTGGTATCTGGTCCTGTAAACTCACTTACTCCATCTCTCCTAGATTCACCTACAGAAACACACAGACATGCCCAGTTACGCTCACCCCCTGCACCCCAGCGCATATTCTTTATTTATCTGATCTGTGTGACTTCTGAATTGCCACGGGGAGCTCCCAGCTCCCTTGTACCCCTTACATGTATCAACCAGGACAGCAGGGGAGGGACTGACTGAATTCTGTATCCAACTTTTCTATGGGGAAATACAGTGCAGTATCCTAAAGGTTCCACTGCACAGCCCAGGAGTGTAACTGCCTGTCCCCCTCCGAGTAACACATGAAATGCAAAAGTTCTTCTCTTGTTTTGCACTTTCTAGGTTTGGTTTAAAAACCGGCGGGCCAAGTGGCGGCATCAGAAGAGGGCATCTGCTTCAGCACTGATTCTTCAAGGCACCAAGAAGCCCTCTGAGGAGAACTGTTAGTGGCTGCAGGCTGCATCTCAGCAGATGAACACCAAGAACATCCATTTCCCGTAGCTGCTGGGTTCTGTAGGGGGGTAACCCTGGGGGATGGATGAAGCAAAAGGGAATCTCTGTGATTCCCAGAGGACAGGTAAAAGCAGACATGGTATCTTCACGTCCCAGTTTCTCTTCTAAACCTAGTTCATGTGGTAAATAACTCACCAGGCATGACCCTCAGATGCTTAAGCAGGAACCACTGCCAAAAGCCTGTGCAGGGGACAGAGCTGTTGGGTGTTAGATGTACGTGCTTCAGGAGACGGGGAGACTCCCCTCCTCGGCTCTGCTCTGTGCAGGCAGTACTTGTGCTTGTTTTACCACTGTAGATTTGCAAAATATCCTGCCAATGAAAGTTCCCTGTTGTCAGCACCTCGATGGCATCCAGCGTTGCTTTGGGTTGAGCTTCGTGAACAGGCGATTTGTTCCTTAACGAAGAAACACGGCCGTGTCCCTGCCGCCCGCGGGAGAGGTGATCCCTCGTGTGCGAGGGGCTCAGCGCTCAGCTCGCCCCGGCCGGGCTGTCACCGCGGGTGTCCGTGTCCCGGCGGGGCTGGCGACAAACCAAGCCCTGTAAAGCCAAATAAAGCAACCCCGTCCCGTCC